CTTAATTTAATATTCCATAGAGAACTTTAAATTTCAAAAATTTATAATTCAATAGAAATAATCAAAAATACAACATATAAATATTGCAACATGACTCTTCACCGATTATGAAATTGAAAAAAAGTACAAACGATTTTTATAAAAAAAAATTCCATTTCCTGGCGGTGCCTTGTATTTTATACGGCATTGACCGTCCGATATTTTTCAAATATGTCGGCGCGACAAGTCGTCGTGGTTTGAGCAGCCGGAAGGCGGGCATATCCTATAACTCGATGTATCGCTGGCATACCAGTAAATGAGAGATTTCACTGGGAAAAATTGCACGATACCCGATACTCTCGCGTATCATCATTGGTCATTAACTTTTTCAAGTTTGTCGATCATCGAAATTACACGCGTGCATGCGGCGGCAAATCTACATGCGCGCTACAAGCCTGCTTCCTGCGCGCCTTCTTTTTCAGACGCGTTATACAGGGTGGTCCGTGAGTACTCTGACCATCCGTGGCCGTGTCTCCTGCCGTGTCCTCTTGATGTCGCGGGAAAAAACACGCATCAACGAAAGACAAATGACTGGAAGGAACATAAGTACGATATAAGAGACTTTCGGTTTAAGGATACTTTTTCTTCATACTTCTTTTTTGTTACGTTATTAAGGTTATTATGGTGCTTTTTACGATGATACAAAGAGTATATTGATTTTTTGAGTAGACTTCTTTTATTTCTATAATTTTTTGTACATCATTTTATTTCGTAGAACAATTGCATGATATAATGCTACGATGATACAATAGTAATAGATACACGACTTGTATTTTGAATAAAAAATAGTGTTATCGTTAATAGTGAAATAAAGTTAAACAAAAATTAATGCATGTTTTGTAGATCACTCTTTATATATACAAAGAAGTACATTTATTTTAGATTTTCAAATGTATCAGATAGGAATTACTAGAAAAAGTGTGTCGAATCGATCAGAAGAAAGTAATCGTGCCGATGTGAATAATAAATTGAGTCTTGTTGCAATATTTAAGTTGGTATGGTGAGTAGAAATGAAAATGGGACAGATTCGAGACTGTCTTCCACGTAGAACAAATTTATTATGTGTGTTTTATATTTTTTATAGATATTTTGTAGCTCATTATACTCGAAACAATTATAAATTCTACTAATTCCAATATATCACTTAAATATTCCATTAAAGAACCAGACACTTAATTCCTTTTAAAAATAATTTACAATTATCAATACTGTCCTAAAAACATCAAATCCTCAACCTTCAACCTATCAATAATACAATCTCTCGAGAACAGCCACCTAACCTACCAATAACATAGTTTCTCGAAAACAGCCACCTAACCTAGTCCCCCAATTGTTTCGAGCATAATAATGGCCAGGGTCATTTATGGATCCTCCACATGAATCCATCTCGACCGTCGTCGCGTGACACGCGATACCTCCTTTCTCTCGCTTCAATACACACACGTACACACTTGCCCACGTTCACATACGTAACCATTTACCATATAAATAGCGAAGGTAAACACATCAAAATGGCCATCAGCCATGTATATCTCTGCGCGAGAAAGAATAGAGGAAAAAGAAAAGTCGCGCGAGATCGGTCGTGTGTGGGGTTTTAGGCCTTTATTAAAATTAACGTGCATGCGAAGGTTGAGTGCCCTCGGGCGGTGTGGTCACGTGAACCTGTCTGCTGACACTTGCAGGCACTCAACAAGAAGGAACATAAGGGCGCCATGTCCCCGGAAAGTCCGGAGCCTGACGCGATCGAGTACAATCTCACTCCGCGCACCGAAGCCAAATACACGAAGATCGACGAGGAGTTCCAGCTGATGATGCAGAGGCACCAGCATAACGGCACTCGGGTAAGTGGAGGTCGTCGTTCGGCGTTGTTCGACGGCCGACTGACGTCGAGAGGACGACTACAGAGAGAGAAAGAAAGAGGGAAGGA